AAAAAGTAAGAACATTTTGGAAAAATAAGTAATATAAAAGTACTCTTACAGATCTATAAAGTTCAAGACGTATAAGTATAATTTATATAAATGAGTTTTGGCGGGAACTTGACCGGCGGCGGCTTGCTGCTCCTGTATTATTGTTTAAATAATGGTTTGAAGTTGATTTTGATATTGTGACGCCTCATAATTATTATTAATAAATAATAATTAAATTCATTATACAGACATTTAAAAATGTCATAGAAATTATAATTTAAACAATAAAATGCAAATAATAAGCATAGAGTTCAAAAATTTTGAATATTGAATATTATATATATTAGTAAACGCATAAAATGTCTCAAAAAATCTCTAAATTTATTAAAAACCTGCTTAAAATGTTCAAAATATATCAAATCATATAAATACAAGGCGATTATATTGCAATAACAAAGATAAATAACATTTGTAATATAATAGAAAAAATGGATTAAAATTTTCTAAGTTAATGAACGTGTTCTTGTAATGTTCCCTTATATTGGGGCGTTGTCGGAGACACATACCCAAGGTTGTACATATATATGGGGTGGTCGGCTGACCGACTGCTAGTACTAAGGCTGCACAATGACTAGTCCTATATTAGGGACTTAACATAGTAAGGTCTGACGAACCAAAGCATTAATATAGAAGGTTTCTATGATGCATAAGCATTATGATAGCAGAGTTATGACTTGAAGTCCCATATGAATAAGACATACAGTAGTACGGTCTATGAAATAAAGCAAATATGTGGAAGGTCTCAAATATGTAAAAGCATTATATTGAAAGAAATGGGACTTGAAAAGGATTATTATAGTGGCGTGTAGGTTGCTTCGCAGCCTCTGAGACCGAGGTAAACTTGGACTCACTAACCGATGTGTCCTAGACATATCATCTTAGTGCCGGTGGTAAGCGGGTTTGTTGTAGCAATACGACTTGCCCGTGGACATCGCACACCCCTACCGGTTGCGGGCGGCGTCTTAGCGCATAGCGTTATGATACGTCGGCTATCTTTCGGATTAGGGTGAGTGTGTTTGGTAGTACTTTTAAGTGCAGCAAGCATACTCAACTTCATGTCTTAGTGCAATAGCGCTATGATACGTGGAGTTTTGGCTACTGACGTCTTAGTACCGTACTACTATGATACGTTGGTGGTATTTTTAGTTAACAACATTATCAAATTTTGTTACCAAAGTCGATAGGGATCATGTGGGTGTGTTGTGAGGGGGCGCCATCCGTATGATAGTTGCATTGATGCTTACTGCTACTTGCAGTATTGTGTCTTGTGATGGATCTGCGGGTGTACTGCACCTGATTCGATGCATCTTGTGGTTCTGGTCGATGGAGGTATGCGGGTGGTGATGTCTGCTGGGACTGTATGGGGGACCTTGGGATGGTGTAAGCCCGACGATAGTCGTATTGATGCTTGTTACATTCTGTAGCATTGCGTCTCTACGATGGTTGTTTGGCGGGTCGCTATTCTCAATGGCGCTCTCTGCGTCTTGGTTTGACTCACAACCTAAGTAGCTTTGCCCAAGTCGGGTCCCTTCATTGCGGGGCTGCAGACTGTCTGCCCTCCATGATGTTTTATATAACAACTTAATAATATATCTCTATAAAGTTCCCACCTTTGAGAGATTGAAGGCAACTTGTTGGTGGGTGAGACAAACATGATCGAAAAATGCATATACTCAACGTCAGTGACACAAACCCTTTCTGATGGCGAATTATTAATATTATCTTATAACTGCCTATTGGCTATATCTGCCATTGTATTGGTTGGTGGAGCATATGTGTTGACCTCATGCGGGTGGTAGCTGGAGGGAGAATCTGAGGAGGCTCTCAAGGCTGCGGCCGAAAGCCGCGCAACGTGGGACCCCATTCCCTTGAGGTGAGCGGTAGACTCATGACACGCTCTGCGGCCAATTGGCCGTGCTGACCATGCAATTGGTGGTGATGCCTTACACTTACATCACGTCTGCAGAAACGGCGGTCTGGCAGGTGGTGGCGCTCACGGAGGGCTTTTTATGGTCAGTGTGCCGATTGTTGCCTAACCCGTGTGACGTACATTTCACTGTGGCTGGATTTGATCGTATTCTGTATGGCGTTTACACGCATTGACATGCGCGACTTCGGTCGATGTTTGTGCTTACGCACTATCAAGGGGCCAAGTCCTCTTTTACTGGTTCGCCAGTTATTTTGCTGTGGACTACGGTCCAGTTCCCAACTTTGCGTACCCTTCGGGGGGAGCGCATTAAAATGGTTGGCGCTCACCGTGCGCGGCGTGTGTGGGGCCGTGTACCTCCTCCACATTTTTTTTAAAATGTGGGAGAGCGAAGCCCTTGTGACTGGTATTTGATATAAATATTGTGAGCCTTTTCCAAGCGGGAAGGGATTAATTAATAAGGAATTGACTGTTGTGAACCAGATACAAGTGGAATAGGGACAATTTATTGTTCTTAACCTTTTTGAGCTCTGTCTTCGTGAACGGGGTTCTTTAGCTTATAAGACTCTACCAACAGCTTTTGATTGCTCTCGTGAATATTCATTCTTCCAAGATACACCTAAAAGAACTAAGTTACTATACAAACACAACGTAAAAAAGGGTCCTAACTAAGACGATCACGCCATAAATTTATTAAACGGCCTATATTTAAACCTTTAGAAAGATCAAGTTATACTGGTCACGTAAATTAGATGTATTTATATATCTTACAGATATAGATTCTAAAGAAATACAAGTATAAGTGGGATATAGTAGAAAAGAAAAAAGATGGGGGGGGGGCTTCGTTACAATTTGGTGCCGTGACCAGGATAGAGGTTAAATTTTAAATAGGAGGCCGGTAATATAAAATTATGAGGTAGGCTATATGCCTACAATTTGTTGTCCGTGAAATGGAGCGGTGTCTTGGAAAGTGGTATTTGCTGGGGGTGGTTGAGAGTTTGGGGGTGGGGCTTAAATATTAAAATGGAGTAATAATATAGGAGGTGTGTGCATAACGGAGCGAAATAATAAAAAGTGAAATAAGTGGAAAGACTCAATTAAACTAAGTGAAGGACACAACAGGTGTAAAAAAAAAAAAAAAAAAAAACAAGTGGTAATAAAAATTAAAAATGGCTAAAAATAAGAAAAAATCAACCTCAATTAAGGCTAAGTCTAAAGATGAGATGAAAATGCTTCAGAAATTAATTAAGAATGCAGTGAAAACCTTTGAGGTTAAAATAAAGGATCTTGAGGAAAAATTTATTAACCAAACGAAAGATTACCAAATTAAAATAAATCAAGGAGAGGTGTCCGGGGCGAGCACCTCTCATGTAAATGATCCTAGACAAAATATTGTATATAATGTACATAATGTAACAATAGAAAAGCCGAAATTCGGAAATGGAAATACTCATCCAGTATCATTTTTGGAAGATCTCACCAATTATATAAAGAAAGTTCCATCTAATGGTCTCGAAATTTCGATAGCACAAGAGTGCTTAGTAGGTGAAGCCAAGTATTGGGCTCGCATTAATAATGTGCGTTGGATAACTTTTGATGATTTTAAAGCTGACTTCCTAAGAGTGTTTTGGGGTGAAGAAGAACAAAATAAAGTAAAGAGATTCCTTGTGCAAAATAAATGGAATAGAAGTACACACCCCACCATGGTTAGTTATTTTCTTTATGTGGTTGAGAAGGCACAAACATTATCATATCCGATACCTGAAAAACAATTAGTAACTGATGTCATCAGACATTATCCTAAAACTGTGCAGCAATTATGGAGAATAGCTAAAATTGAGACAATAATAGACACGACAGATTTCTTAAGAAACTTAGATGACATCGACAAACAAGATGAAGGTCGTGAACCTTACTATAATGAGAAAAGGAGGAAGTTTAATAATAATACGGAGCAAAAACATAAAGAAATACAACAATCATACAAAACATGGCGTAAACCCGAAGAGGGAAAAAAGAAGGTTAATGAAGTACATGAAATACATTTCACTAATGACCAACCTGATGTTACGGCCCCTGAGCCAAATTTAGAGCTGTAGAGGTCGAACTAGTTCCCGATTCGACCCCTTACAATGTAAAAGGGAACAAAGCATTAAATATGTTATTAAAACTGGGTTGGCGACCTGGTCAAACATTGGGTAAAAACAATAGAGGGTTGCGAAAACCTATTACTTTAAAAGCAAATTTTAACAGAGAAGGCCTTGGTTATAACGACAATGTAAATAGTATATTAAACACCTTAAAAGCCAGGTCGGACTTGCCCATAACGGAGTTATTCGTGCAAACCGTCTTCGAGGAAGACGAAGATAAATATCAAAGGGAATTTATAGGGAATATGAAATCTGAAATTAAAGTTTCAATATTTGACAAAGAAATAGACGCGCTCCTCGACACTGGGAGCGATGTTACATGCATTTCAGAAAGTTTATATTTACAAATTAAAGATAATAATCGTAAAATATCAATAATGCCAGTTAAAGCAATGCAAATAAAAGGTGCTGTTGGGCAGCGCAGCACAAAAATACAACAGATGATCATATTGCCTATAAAGATAGATGAAGTAGTCTTTGAAACACAAACTTTAATTGTAGGTAATTTAATAAGACCTTTAATATTAGGCTTTGACTGGCTCAAGAGAAATAAAATATTGATTGATTTGAGAAATACTACTGTTGGAATAGAATTTAAAGTGAAAAACAAAGACTACTTTATACCTTTCAAATATAATAATAAATCTGTATTACATTATAACTGCATCAAACAATGTACCGATGATCCCTTAATAAATATAAAAATAGGATCTACATTGGAGGTCTCTGAAAGGGCAAAACTTAGTAAGGTTTTGGAAAAGCATAAGAATATGTTTTCGAGCAAATTGGGAAGAGCCAATTGCTATGAGCATAAAATTGAAATGATCGATGATGAACCTATAGTTACTAGGTCCTATCCCATTCCATATGCATATAGAGTGAAAATGGAAGAAAAGTTAAATGAAATGGAACAAGCTGGTATCATCACAAGGACATCAACGCCTTACAGTAGTCCATTGACATTCACTCTTAAAAAAGACGGCTCAATTAGAGTTCTGCTTGATGCCAGAAGCATAAATAAGAAAATGGTTGCAGAAACAGAGAAACCACCTATACAATTAGATGTTTTGAATTCATTTCACGGAGCGAATTATATCACTACCATTGACTTAAATAATGCATATTTTCAAATTCCGATAAATAAAGATGGTAGAAAATATACTGGATTCACATTCAATGGAAAGTCATATGTATATAATGTTTTGCCGCAAGGATTAAAAACATCAGTAGGAAGCTTTAGCAGAGCCATGAATTTAATATTAGGACCAGAAGTCCAAGAATTTTGTGTGAACTATTTAGATGATCTAGCCATTATTACAACAGGAACGTTAGATAAACATTTGGAGCACATTGATATTGTTTTAAGTAAATTGAACAAAGCTGGCTTAACGTGTAACTTGCAGAAATGTGAATTTATTTGTAAAGAAATTAAAATGCTGGGTTTTATAATTTCAACAGAAGGCATAAAGACAGATCCCGATAAGATTCGAGCGATCCAAGAGTTTCCAGCACCTAAAAAGATTAAACAATTAAGGGCCTTTTTAGGTCTATGCAATTTTTATAGAAGGTTTATACCAAATTACAGCGAGAGCATAATACCGCTCTGTGAATTACTTAAAAAGGGACGAAAGTTCCAATGGAGCGGTAAAGAACAGAAGGCATTTGATTTTATAAAACAACAATTTATTAATACAATACAATTGCATCATCCAGACTTTAATAAGCCGTATTATTTACAAACAGATTGTTCCGGTGTGGGTATGGCCGGAGTACTATATCAGATAGATGATAATAATGAAATGAGAATTTTAGGCTATCATAGTAAAGCCTTAAAAGGCCCCGAATTAAATTGGTCTGTTACTGAACAAGAGTTTTATGCTGTAATAAGCTGCCTAAAGAAATTTGAAACATATTTGCGGGGCAGTAAATTAATAATACTAACTGATCATAAAGCATTATTTTTTATTAATAATATGAAGTTATTCAATGGTAGAGTAACCCGATGGATTTTGTATATAGAACAATTTAATTATGAAGTACAGCATATATCGGGTAGACGTAATATTGTTGCAGATGTGCTATCACGTTATCCTCCTGATGGCGATTTAATACAAGAGGATAAAAATAATAGTTTAGAAATTGCTTACACAGAGAGCGAACCGAATATTGAGTTCATAGAAAAATTAAAATCCTTAACAGTATATCAATTACAAGATTCAGAGTCGTTGGCTATTATTGAAAAGTTAAAGACATTAAATACTTCCATAATAAAACAAAACAATAAATTTAAAAGATATAGTTTGAAAAATGATGTATTATATTACAAAACGAATTTACAAGAAGTAATATATTTACCTAAAGCATTGAGATAAGATATTATAAATCAAGTGCATGTCGAAATGGGTCATCAAGGACCCTATAAGGTAATTAAATATGTGAGAGACAGATTCTTTTGGAAAGGTTTAACAAAAGATATTAAAAACCAATTAAGGGCTTGTCATTTATGTCAGTTATCTAAGAAAAGCAATATAATATATGTGGGTCCCTGCAAATCTATAATAACAGAAAACATTGGCGATATAGTCATGGCAGACTTATATGGACCGCTTGTATCAGGTACCTTTGGGTACACTTTCATATTTGTCATTCAAGATTCATTCAGTAAATTTATCAAATTATATCCATTAAAAGAGTCAACAGCAAAGTCTGTTGTAACAAAAGTAAAGCATTTTGTTGAGATTATAAAGCCCAAGGCAATAATGACAGATAATGGAAAACAGTTCGTAAGTAATCACTGGAAACAATCAATGAGTGAATTAAATATAAAGCCAATATATACCACAGTTAGAAATCCTAGACCAAATACAACAGAGCGAGTAAATAAAGAGTTGAGCAGATTATTTAGGACGCTTTGTCATACTAACCACAAAGATTGGGCGTTAATATTGCCGAAATTAGAAGAATTGTATAATAATTCTTATCACAATAGTACAGGCTTCACGCCTTGTGAGATTCTTTATGGTGAGTCTAATGAGATGTCTTTTGACAAAGTAATTTCCAAAAGTAAAGACAAACATAATGTCGGACAAATTAGACAACAAGTGCGTAAAAATTTAAAAGAGGCAAGTCGAATAAGAAACACAAAATTTGATAAGCGAAATAGATTAATAAAATATAATATTGGTGACTTAGTAAAAATTTCAAGATCTAGTAGATCAGACGCTGATAATAAAGTTATGAGTAAGTTCAATTTGGCGTATGAAGGACCTTATGTAATAGCAGCCGTACCATTTGACAATTATATACCTTAGCAAATCCAGAGACAAACGAAATTAGAGAAATTTTCAATGCTATTCACTTATTAAAATATTTTAAATAATAATTTCTTTTTGTATAAATTAGAGTAATTAAATAAATATTGTAACATAAAAGGGTTTTGTGGGTGGCCCATGGAAATAATTGTTTAAGTTAAAGGTCTAAAATTATTAAAGTTATGAGCAAGAGATTTGTTATATGATAGTAGAACGTTATTAATATATAATGAAGAGTTGTAAATATAGATCGCAAGATAATTTTGTAATCATTTTTATTAAATAAATATGGGAGTTGGGTCAGGGCGAATGGCTCAAACACATTTATCCTATGTGGTATCGAACTGACCTCAACAAATATCCAACTGGATTGTATGCACATAAAGTGTGACACTATCGAAATAATGTTTCAAAGATTTAAAGATAAATTAATAAAATAAGAAATCGACAATTGACTGCAAACTTTATTAACAACACGATATACAATAACTTGAATTATGGTGTTATCACATTGTGATAATTGTGGTTGAAGGGGTGTTGGTGGCGGCCATTCTCTGGGGTAGGGGGATTTGATAACATATGCCGTATTGTAACAGATTAAAAGAGGAAAGAACAGATATATAAACAATTATTTGAGTGTAGTGTATATGCTCTCAAAATACTAAAATTTTATATTAACGACTCCACTATGTGGATCATTAACATAAAATTTGGGGGTGGATTGTGACGCCTCATAATTATTATTAATAAATAATAATTAAATTCATTATACAGACATTTAAAAATGTCATAGAAATTATAATTTAAACAATAAAATGCAAATAATAAGCATAGAGTTCAAAAATTTTGAATATTGAATATTATATATATTAGTAAACGCATAAAATGTCTCAAAAAATCTCTAAATTTATTAAAAACCTGCTTAAAATGTTCAAAATATATCAAATCATATAAATACAAGGCGATTATATTGCAATAACAAAGATAAATAACATTTGTAATATAATAGAAAAAATGGATTAAAATTTTCTAAGTTAATGAACGTGTTCTTGTAATGTTCCCTTATATTGGGGCGTTGTCGGAGACACATACCCAAGGTTGTACATATATATGGGGTGGTCGGCTGACCGACTGCTAGTACTAAGGCTGCACAATGACTAGTCCTATATTAGGGACTTAAAATAGTAAGGTCTGACGAACCAAAGCATTAATATAGAAGGTTTCTATGATGCATAAGCATTATGATAGCAGAGTTATGACTTGAAGTCCCATATGAATAAGACATACAGTAGTATGGTCTATGAAATAAAGCAAATATGTGGAAGGTCTCAAATATGTAAAAGCATTATATTGAAAGAAATGGGACTTGAAAAGGATTATTATAGTGGCGTGTAGGTTGCTTCGCAGCCTCTGAGACCGAGGTAAACTTGGACTCACTAACCGATGTGTCCTAGACATATCATCTTAGTGCCGGTGGTAAGCGGGTTTGTTGTAGCAATACGACTTGCCCGTGGACATCGCACACCCCTACCGGTTGCGGGCGGCGTCTTAGCGCATAGCGTTATGATACGTCGGCTATCTTTCGGATTAGGGTGAGTGTGTTTGGTAGTACTTTTAAGTGCAGCAAGCATACTCAACTTCATGTCTTAGTGCAATAGCGCTATGATACGTGGAGTTTTGGCTACTGACGTCTTAGTACCGTACTACTATGATACGTTGGTGGTATTTTTAGTTAACAACATTATCAAATTTTGTTACCAAAGTCGATAGGGATCATGTGGGTGTGTTGTGAGGGGGCGCCATCCGTATGATAGTTGCATTGATGCTTACTGCTACTTGCAGTATTGTGTCTTGTGATGGATCTGCGGGTGTACTGCACCTGATTCGATGCATCTTGTGGTTCTGGTCGATGGAGGTATGCGGGTGGTGATGTCTGCTGGGACTGTATGGGGGACCTTGGGATGGTGTAAGCCCGACGATAGTCGTATTGATGCTTGTTACATTCTGTAGCATTGCGTCTCTACGATGGTTGTTTGGCGGGTCGCTATTCTCAATGGCGCTCTCTGCGTCTTGGTTTGACTCACAACCTAAGTAGCTTTGCCCAAGTCGGGTCCCTTCATTGCGGGGCTGCAGACTGTCTGCCCTCCATGATGTTTTACATAACAACTTAATAATATATCTCTATAAAGTTCCCACCTTTGAGAGATTGAAGGCAACTTGTTGGTGGGTGAGACAAACATGATCGAAAAATGCATATACTCAACGTCAGTGACACAAACCCTTTCTGATGGCGAATTATTAATATTATCTTATAACTGCCTATTGGCTATATCTGCCATTGTATTGGTTGGTGGAGCATATGTGTTGACCTCATGCGGGTGGTAGCTGGAGGGAGAATCTGAGGAGGCTCTCAAGGCTGCGGCCGAAAGCCGCGCAACGTGGGACCCCATTCCCTTGAGGTGAGCGGTAGACTCATGACACGCTCTGCGGCCAATTGGCCGTGCTGACCATGCAATTGGTGGTGATGCCTTACACTTACATCACGTCTGCAGAAACGGCGGTCTGGCAGGTGGTGGCGCTTACGGAGGGCTTTTTATGGTCAGTGTGCCGATTGTTGCCTAACCCGTGTAACGTACATTTCACTGTGGCTGGATTTGATCGTATTCTGTATGGCGTTTACACGCATTGACATGCGCGACTTCGGTCGATGTTTGTGCTTACGCACTATCAAGGGGCCAAGTCCTCTTTTACTGGTTCGCCAGTTATTTTGCTGTGGACTACGGTCCAGTTCCCAACTTTGCGTACCCTTCGGGGGGAGCGCATTAAAATGGTTGGCGCTCACCGTGCGCGGCGTGTGTGGGGCCGTGTACCTCCTCCACATTTTTTTTAAAATGTGGGAGAGCGAAGCCCTTGTGACTGGTATTTGATATAAATATTGTGAGCCTTTTCCAAGCGGGAAGGGATTAATTAATAAGGAATTGACTGTTGTGAACCAGATACAAGTGGAATAGGGACAATTTATTGTTCTTAACCTTTTTGAGCTCTGTCTTCGTGAACGGGGTTCTTTAGCTTATAAGACTCTACCAACAGCTTTTGATTGCTCTCGTGAATATTCATTCTTCCAAGATACACCTAAAAGAACTAAGTTACTATACAAACACAACGTAAAAAAGGGTCCTAACTAAGACGATCACGCCATAAATTTATTAAACGGCCTATATTTAAACCTTTAGAAAGATCAAGTTATACTGGTCACGTAAATTAGATGTATTTATATATCTTACAGATATAGATTCTAAAGAAATACAAGTATAAGTGGGATATAGTAGAAAAGAAAAAAGATGGGGGGGGGGGGCTTCGTTACAATATGTAAAACTGTTGCGATTTTGTGTATTAAGTGTCTGCGCATGTAAACAATTAGTGGAAACGGTAAAACAAGTGCTCTGATGGTGATGTGATTCTTAAGATAAGGTGTCTGTTTGCTTAGGTGCCGTGAGATACCATCGCCATCGCCAACTATCAGCTGTCTGCTGGCTCAAGCTACCGTCAAAATCTCCAATGTTCGTCACATTGTGCAGCCCTTGGGTCTCTCATCATCAACATATTGTGAAGCAGTGTACTATGAAGGATAACTAAACGTTGTAACTTCAGGCTCAGAAGGGCTAGAACCCAGAGCCGTAAAGCCTGTTATTAAAAAAATATCAATCCTGCGTGCATTTAGCATTGAGTTATTATGTACTACGTACTAGTGGCGACACTGCACTAAGCTACGCTGTTCCATTCAACTGCGGCAATGTCACCGCACTGTAATCAATCGCTCGCTAGGCGCTTGTGGAGTTGTCACGTATTGTGTTGATTAAAAAAAATCTCTTGATAAAATATGCCGGGGTGTGTTCTTAGATATTGCACAAAAAATCACAAAATGTTAGTAAAAACCAAGGAATCACTTTTCGTTGGTAAGTAAGATACTTAAATAATTTAAAAAAACATTGTAGATTAATAATTAAAAAGTTATTTCTTTGGCGCCAACTTGTGTCATATAGAATATGAAAGTAATTTTT